TAATTTTCGAGGTTGATAGAAATATTATCTTTGTATTTCTGACACTGGTCTATGATTTATTTGAGATTAAGTTTTTCAAAAACTTTCTATTTGCTTAAATATATCCTCAAACAGCTTTGATCCACTATATTACAATCTACTTTATGCTTATTTCCAGGGATACAATGGGGGGACTATATGCATTTTGGTTTTGATCTTTGATTTGAATTGCATCACAGTTAACAAATTCCTGCATTAAATAAACATCTATTTAAAAATAAAATCTACACAATTTTGTTGTGGTTTTATTTTATTTTATTTTATTTTGCTCCTAGTCACTTTAGATTGTGCATTTATAACACTTAGTTTGATTGAGGGGAGTTTTAAAATACTTTCCCAACGCATCTTCTCACAACTCTATTCTCATTTTCACTATTTGAATGGGATGAGAGAAGCAGAATCCTTTTTTAAAATATCTGATTCATAAAGCAATACTAGCCATGCCATTTGATATGTAACCAGACCAAATCATTGTATTTTTTTTTCCTTCAAAACCTTGTCAGTTCTCTAATTTAGTGGATTAGTGATTATATGTTGGCATGAGTCAGCATCGCGTATCAGATAGAAGGCCTGTCTTAGTGTTAGGAAAGAACTAAATTCAAACCTTGTCTCTAATAAATCCAAGTCATTTCACTTAAAGTCATAGTGTCATGGGTAACATTCAAAGACTCTTTATGACAGATGTGTTTCTAATATGCACCTATTGAGAGAGTTTCTATACCCATAAATTCATCATACCAGTGGCAACACAGGTTCACCCTCTCTCCAAGAAAAAAAAAATTAAAATATACTAAAATACTAACAATACTAATGATATTTATGTTTTCATTTTGATTAAGGAACAAAATATTCCAAACACAATTCCTTTTTTTAACCAGCTATCTCCCAAGAGATATTTTGGCAAGAAAACCAAGGAAATAATATAAAAATTATTTGAAATAACTTTTTAAAAATGTTTTATTATCATTAACTTAATACAGCCATGTGGCATTGCTATGATGATACAAGAGAACCTGGATTTGAACCCCAGCTGTACTCTATAAATATCCAGATGAATTTGGGCAAACCTTTCACCTCTCTGTATCTTAGTTTCCTCATTTACAAAATGAGGATACTAAAGCAAATGATCTGTAAGGTCCCTTAAAATCTCTTAATCCCAATAACTTATTAGAAAATAAATAAATGTAATATTGGTAAAGACTGTTAATGGAGATATTACCCTTCAAAGTGAAATATTTGGATTTCAACAAGATCTTCCTGAACTTCATATCTTATTACAAAGGAATGATATTTATGAGGGTAATAATTATAACAGTAATAATAATAATAATACCTACCATTTATAAATTTCATTGATTTTTGCAAAGCATTCTACCTATATTACCTCATTTGGTAAATTCAGAAGTAAATTGGGAAAAGGGTCAGCACCATTTTAGTCATTCTACTACTATCAACACTACATGTTATAGCCTTAGGGAATTACTTAGGATATGGACTTTCCATGGTTGCACAGACTACTTGACTACCTATTCTATTAACCATTAAGGTATGTGTGGATAAGTAAGGTCTTTTTGATGGCAGAGGGATATAGAGGAATGAGCTCTGGATTTAGAGCTAGAGGACTTTGGTCCAAATTCTATCCCTGCTACTTACAACCTGTGTGACCTTGAAAAATAATTTACTCTTTCTGGGTCTTCTTTTCTCTTCTGTAAACTTAAAGGGTGGTATCCACATCCAGAGAAAGAGGAATCTGGATGCAGATGGAAGCATCCTATTTGCTCTCCTTTTCCTTTGTTGTTTTGTTTTATTGTTTCATTCTCATGGTTCCTCCCATTAGTTCTAATTGTTCTTTACATCATAACTAATGGGAAGATATGATTAACATGAGTGTATAAGTAGAGCCTATATCAAATTGCATGCCGTCTTGGAGGTGGGGGAAGAAAGGGAGAGGGAGAATATTTAAAACTCAAAATCTTATGGAATTGAATGTTGAAAACTAAAAATAAATTAATAATTTAAAAAATCAAGGGGTGGGACTAGAAGACTTCTGTAGTCCAACTCAATTCTATGATAGTGATGGTTATAAATGGAAATATATTCCTTGTCACCTGGTCAGCATTGGGCAGTAGGGAAAACCTATGAGTCTCATGTCCCTTCTTTTCTCATAATCAGTCAAAAAACATGTGTTAAACATTAGTTACGTACCATGCACTGTGCTGGATACTGGCAATACAAAGAGAGAAATGGAATGGTTTTAATGAGTAAATATTTCAGACTATTTTAAGGGACTAAACATTTAAAAATAATTGTGTTTCTGCTTGTAGTAGAAGGCAAATGCTACCAAAGATTTGTTTTGTAAAATATAAATACCTAGTTTTGAGTCCATAAGTAGAATATTTCTTTCAGGACTAATTATTTTAAAAAAATTAAAAAGAACAAATATACTTCATTAAACCATCAAACTAGCTTTTAGGATTCGCCATTTTCAGGGACATTGGCACTATTGTATTGGAAAATCAATGATCTCAAGAATACAGAACAACTCTTCTACTTAATACTATCATTTCCAGTAACATTAAGTTCAGAAAGGGCTTCCTGCTATAGAAATCAAGATAATGGGCCCCAAAGCCATGAGACATCAACATGACACTGGACCAGTCAACGTAAACATTGTTGAAGCTTGTGATATCCTACAACAAACCATTATTCATGGAGACTTCAGAGGTAGTAAAAAAAAAAAAAAAAAAACAGAAACAAAAACAAAACTCCACTATGTGCAATCAGTAAAGTTTATGTACTAGTGACAATGCCTTGAGCATCACAGGAAATTAATAAGTATTTGTGGAATATATAAATGAAAATTACTGCCACTTCTACAAAATTTTTTTCTGACCCTAAGGTCTTCTGTCTAGATCCACCTCAAATGCTAGATAAGGTTGTGATATAATTGTATTCACCCAATAATTCTAATATTTCCCCTTAATTTATACACTGGGGACATTAGGATTAAGCAGAGATTAAAGCAAAATTAGAATTTTAATAATTGATACTGAACAGGGTACTTCCAAAATCTCACTGGCCTGAGTTTGACAAGGAGCCCTTGAGGGTTCTGCTATTCAAGATCTTATTATATCATCATAGCTGGTGTATGGAGATGAGAAGAACTAGGTTCCAGTAATAATTCAACCATCAATTCCCTAAATAACTGTGGACAATTCACTCAAAACCTCTGTAACATGTTTTCCTTATCTATTAAATGAGGTTAGTAATATGTGCCCTTTCTGCCACACAGGATCATGACAATATAATACTGCACATACAAGGTTATTGTTCTTATTTTTAATAAGCTAAATGACCTATACAAATAAAAGACATTTTAATCATCATCAATTATATTGTAGACACTTTTTGAGAATCAAGGAAATAGGTAAACAAATAGATACAATTGACAAGTTAGAAGCACTTCTCCTTAGTTTTCAGTAAAATTCAACATCATGTAAAACAAAGATATTTGTTACCTTTTTTACATTTATTTCTATTGTTAGCTGATTTCAATATTTATATGTTCACATCTTCATTTTTTTTTTTTTTTTGCAAAATGGTGTGGTTTTAAACCCATATGCTTTCAACTTGCTTGTAAAAAAAATTCCTCCAGTGGATTTATTCTAGGTTCCCAATTAACCAAAAGCATAACATGAGAGTATTCAGGTTGAAAGGGTATCATGCTCTGTGATCTATGAAGGCAAAGTTATAATTCGGCATCATTCTTCAGAAGGTTAGGAATTGGCCCATCAGTGGCCTGTGTTCTCTTTATGAAGAGTTTGTTCCATTACATAATATGTAGTGAATGAAAATTAATCTTTTCCTCAATAGTAACAATAGCAGACATATAGTGTTTCACAGTTTACAAAAACAGTATACAGACATTATCTAATTTGTGAGCTATATATACATATATACACATACATGTATACATACAAACATATATGTGTGTATATATGTATGTATACATGTATGTGTATATGTATTACAGTAATAACTATGTAAGCCAATCCAGTGATGATAAGCCTTTCTAAACTTTGTTAGGCTGGTGCTCAGAGAAAAGTGTATCACCATGCCTGTACACAAAACTTTTCCAGGTTGGAGTCAGGTAAGACCTGCCAGAGATTAATCTTAGCTGGCTTGGACTTTAAGAATGCAGGTCTACTTCCAGGCCATGATAAAAAGATAAATAATCTTATTTTGTTTTGTTTTTTTAAAGTCCTTTAAAAAGCAACATCTATACATATGATGTACAAAGAAAAAGTGAAACCAAATCCTATTGTATCTCTCTCCCCACCCAACCCCCCAAAAATCCACACTTTTTTTAGTTTGACTATGCATATTGGTTACAAGGATTATTTTTTTCCTTCAGTGAAGGGAGAAATGTGAGAGAAAAATACTTAAAATCTTGTGAATTGAAAAAAGATAAAATTTGTTATATACATTCAATAAGTTCAGGACAGTAACACCTCCAAACTGGAAAAAAAAATGGTTAGGATAAAAATTAAGCATTTTCCTTTTTTAGAATTTGACTTCCTAGACAAACATTGGGAATACATTTCAGCACAACATCAGACACAAGGGAGTGCTTACACGTTTGAAATTGTGTTCATAGAAAGTAAATTAATTTTAAAAAGATTAAGTGAGTATAGGCAAAAATAAATAGTATCTTGATATTCTTGTTAGTAAGGGCTAACAGTGTCATCAGCTGTAATTTATATGTGCTTAATTAACTTTGCTCTAAATACTACAACTCTAGAAGCCTCAGAAAGATAGTGATGGAATGCTCAAAGTAACCACTGTTTTCTTTTTTTGCTTGTTTTTTGCATTGGTAAAAAAATAAACTTCATGTTACTAAGTTACATCAAACAATATCTATGTTTAGTTTGGCTTTGTCAATATTTGGGAGTAATGGGAATTTATAAGTAAAGGTAGCCAATCCAATAAACAAGATTAAATAGAGCAAAAGCTGTTGGGAAAAATATACGGGAATATGAGTCAATTTTGGCAACGCGGATGTGTATTCTTCCTTCCCTCCAAGACCCTGTCCGGCAGTCTTCAAAACAACAGAAAAAGCTGGCACAGTCTTTGCCTTCCAAGCATTGATATCCATAATCTTCATCTCTTTGTGGATGAGAAATGCTGTTCATTGGAATCAATGTAGATCCAGGTCGAACTGCTACTGCAGGTGATTTCTGAATAAAAGGACATAGTGGATTTTTGACATTGAATTAATAATAACAGAAACAATTGACATTTATGTATGGTTTTGTGGTTTACAAATATTATCTTATTTCTTGCCCATTCAAACCTCAAAAAAAGATACTAATGGCATAATGAAAATGTTCATGTTTGTGTATTTGTACATGTCCATGGATGTTTTCTTTTTTCATAATTTACTTCAGGAATCCATATAAGTTAATGGGGGAAAATACACACACACAATTCAATGTCCTTTCTAGTTTTAGAGCTCTAATCATATTAGAAAGTATCTTATAAATAGTAGGTATCTCACAGGGTTTTTGCAAGCCTCAAAGTAATAATCAACCAAGTCACAAGCATTTATTAAGAGTGTTTTGTGTCAGGCATTGTACTAAGTTCTAAAGATAGAAAGACAAAAGACAAAACAATCTCTTCTCTTAAGGAGTTGTTATTATATGGGGAAAGATAACATGCACACAAATTTTATGTAGAATTTTAAAAAAATTCTTATATAATAAATTTTATATAGAATAATAAATCTTATAAAATTTTATATAGAATAAATGTATACAGAGCAAAAATGACATAGATATGGTAACTAAATAAAAGGTAGTTAGTCAGAGGGCACCAATAGTATGCAGGATTAGGAAAGTGTCTGGTAGAAAGCGGGGCTTGAACATATTCTTGAAGACAGTGAGAGATTATATGAGGCATAAATGAGGAAAGGGTGAATTACAGGCATGACCAATGCAAAAGTATGGAAATCTGAGGTCGAGTGTCATATATAAAGTGTTTTGCAAGTCTTGTAAATGGGAGCTCTTATTCTGTGATTACTGCTAACAGATATCAATTTTTTTTGCAGCAAATTTTTACAAAACACCTCCTTAGAAGTTGTATAATTTGATGACTATAACAAGACAATTATGAAAGACATTTTGCCAGCAAATATACAAAATAACTTTAAAAGGGAAAATAGTATGTGTGTGCTCAAATAACTCTGCTTATTTGAACAAATATACACATGACTGTATCTATTTACCTAAGTAACCAACTAGCTATCACTCCAGCAATGGAATAGAGTATTGAGAATATATTGATTTGTATCCCGGAAACCACTGAAGAATTAACCACAGAAATGTGTCCAGTAGAAATCTGCTTATCTCAGCTGCAACCAAGGATGATACATTTTAAAAATTCACTTAAGCATAGTCACAGCTAATAATGATGAGAGAGGGAAAGAGAGAGAGAGAGAGATTTCATGTGAATTCTTCAATACTATGGAATGGGGTAGAATCCAGGCTTTCAATAGATCTCTTTACCTACAACAACAACCTTTTTTTCTTAGGAAACAGCCCTAAAAGCACCAGGGAACTTATCATGCTCAGAAATGACTCTCTCTTTGAAGCTGAAATAAAAATCAAATCCCAAGTGTTATCTAATTATCATTTAAAAAATAATTCTTGGTGACTGCTTAACTTATGGAACAGGCCTTGGATTCCCCAAACATACTGCTAAAAAATGCTCACTTTAACATATTTTACAATCAGTCCCCTGACCCTTCATAGCTGTTCAAATAAGCTACTTGCTACAACCACTGTCACATAATCGCTCCTGGGAGATTTGCCAAATGCCATTTAGAAGAAGACTTTTAACACGCCTGAAAATTCTGTTCCTGCTGATATTCATCTCCCTGAAAAGAATATGGCTGTATCTCAGTCACTCTCTGGGACCCTCACCCCTTTTTTGAGAGTTGTGTCCCTAAGAGAGAGAGTTTCTGAAAGTACTCTCACAAATATACACTTAAGAGATCTTGGACACAGAGAAGGCTGAGAGGATATGGCTCTGATGACTTTGTTTCACAAGGATGACAGTATGGCTAGGCACAGAAGACTCCTCAGGGGAACATTCCACAGGACAGATGACTTTGATGAGTTCATCAATTACTGTCATCTTTGGTTCATTTTCATCTGCCTACAAACACCTTCAAGTTTTACTCAGTCAAAAAAATATACCTTTCTTCTTAATCCAAATTCTATATCATCTTCCTCATATCCTTCATAGTCAAAATTTTAGAAGAATTTATCTATATTCAATGCTCCACTTCATTGTCATTCATTTCTGCTTAACCTGTTGAAATCTGATTTTACCCCATCATTCCAAACTGCTATCTTAAAAGATGTTTTTGCTAAACTAATCACCAAATCAAGTGGCTTTTTCTCGGTTCTCATTCTCCTTGAAATCTCTATATTTCCATGTCATTAGCTATCCTTGCTAATGGATGGTTTTCATTCCCTTGAATCCAAAGATACCATCTTGTTCTACTTTTCTAATAATTCTTCCACTTTCTCTTTTGCTGGCACCTTGTTCTCCTTCTAAACTCTTAAGGTAGGTTTTCCCCTATTCTCTATCCATGACCCATTAATCTTTCCTTTTTAGACTCTCCCTTTAAAGCTCATTGAATTGGAAGGTGTTTAAGGAGCATGTAGACCTTAATCTCATCAGAACTGGCTCAAAGAGAGAATAATATACACACTCAGAAATAGAAATCCATCTTATAATACTGGAAAATAGGAGGGGAAGGAGATAAGAAAAGGGGGCAGGGTTCATAGAAGGGAGGGCAGATTGGGTGAGGTAAAAGAAGCAAAACACTTTTGAGAATGGATAGGGTGAAAGGAGAAAGAGTAGGATAAAAAGGGAAAAAATAGGCTGTAGGGAAATATGTAGTTAGTAATTATAATTATTTTAAAAATTACAGCAAGTTCCTCTGATAAAGACATCATTTTTTCAAATATGTAGAGAACTAACTCAAATTTATAAAAAAAGAGCCATTCTTCAAGTAATAAAGGGTCAAATAATATGAATAGGCAGTTTTCAGATGAAGTAATCAAAGCTATTGATAGTCATATAAAAATGCTCTAAATCACTAATGATTAGAGAAATGCATTTTAAAGCAACTCTGAGCTACCACCCCACACATATTAGATTGGCTAATATGACAGAAAAGGAAAATGACGAATGTTGGAGTGGATGTGGGAAAATTAAGACACTAATACCCTGTTGGTGGAGTTGTGAACTGACCTAACTTTTCTGTATATACAATTCTGTAACCTTGCATACTGTTTGACCAAGTAATATCATTACTAGGTCTGTATTCCAAAGAGATAAAAAAAAGAAGGAAAAAGCTGTATGTGTACAAAATTATTTATAGTGGGTATTTTAGTGGTAGCAAAGAACTGGAAATTGAGGATATATCCATGAATTAGAGAATGCCTGAACAAGTTGTGATATATGATTGTGATGGGATACTATTGTGCTATAAGAAATAATGAGCAGGATGCTCTCAGAAAAATCTGGAAAGACTTGCATGAACTGATGCAAAGTGAAATGAGCAGAACCAGGAGAATATTGCATATGGTAACAGCAATATACAATATTGTGTGATGATTAGTTGTAAATGATTTAGCTATTCTCAGCAAGACAATGATCCAAGACAATTCTGAAGAATTTATGATGAAAAATGCTATCCATCTCCATAGAAAGAACTGATGGAGTCTGAATGAAGAATGAAGCATACTTGTTCTTCATTTAATTTTTCCTGGGTTTTTTATCTGTTTTCCTTTCACAACATGAGTAACATGGAAATATGTTTTGCATAATTGCACGTGTATGACCTATAGCAAATTGCTTGCCTTCTCAATAAGAGGGAGAGGTAAGAAGGGAGAGAGAAAATTTGGAACTTGAAACTTTTTTTTCAAAATGAAGGTTAAAATGTGTTTTTAAATGTAATTGGGAAAAATAAAATATTGAATCTAAAAAAATAATAAATTTCATTGAATCATAGACTCCAAAGATTAGAGATTTAGAAATGGAAGAGGTCTTTGAGTTCATCTAGTCCAACCTCTTCATTTTAGAGTTGAGGAAACTGAGTCTTAGTCAAGTTACTAAAATTACTCACTCCTTCCATGAAGAAGACCTCCAAGTCAAAATCTCCTTCATTGTTGTCTTTTCTGATGCAAGGATTCACCCCTTGACAATGCCTACAAGATATTTCTCCCTGAATGTTCCATGATAATCTCAAAATCAGTGTATTAAAAATATAGCTCATTATATTTACCTCTTGACTTGCTCCTATTTTTAATTTAACTAATTCCCTAAATGGAATCACTTTATTTAATCTCTATATTCAAAACCTTGGTTTTATCTTTGATTCTTACCTCTCTTTTCCTTCTCAAATCACTTCTCTTAATCAGTAAATCACATTTTATCAATTCCACTGATGTAACAACTGTCCCAATCATCCGATCCTCATCATCCCTACTGCTACCACATTAATATGAACCCTTATTACCCTCTGTGTTAGAATCTTGAAATAATTTTCTCTTCTTGTGTTTACTTTCTCCCCCTCTGAACTATTATTTTAATTTCTTCCAGAATAGTCTTCATTATTCATAATCTGATGATTCAACATGACCCTATCTACAAATCTTTGGTAATAATTTATTGGCTACCTACCAAGTAAAAGTTAAATGCTCATAGGCCTCCACAACTTGCCATTGTTTTACATTTCTGGCCTTATTTCATGTTGTGCCCTTCCATGTACTCTATGCACCTACGGTATTACTTACATCATAAACTTTGCCTGTCGTTTCCTATCTCTATGCCTTTGTTGCATTGTTCTCCATGCTCTTCTTGGTTTTCCTGTAGAATTTCTACCTTTCCTTTAAAGTTAAACTCAAAGGCTACCTCTTCTGTGAAGGCTTTCTGGTCCCCATGATTGTTATTGACCATCTTCTTTGGGTCCTTGTTGGATTAAGAACTCAATAGCAAATATTATATGACTCTGGAATAATAAAAAATTTAACTATCTTGCCTGGTGATTTTAGATGAGAAACTCCATGAAAGAAACCCAATGGATAAATAGCTGTTATTGTTACACAATAGCTTTTGACTGCACCATACAAATATCTTTCTGTTTAGGTTCAACATGTTTTACTTCATTTATATAGCTTTTCTTTAAAAAAAAGACCCAACCATTTAGAAATAAAATTAGGGACCATTGGAAATGAAACTATAAGAATATGAGTGTGACTCAAAAGAATTAATGAAAATGAACAATTCTTTTCCTACACTCTGAGAAACTGACAGGTTGAAAAAATGTATCTTGTCAGGTCTCACTGCAGCTGTAACTTAATTATTTTGAAGGTTTGGATGTTCCTTAAGCAAAGAATCCAAGGACTAGAGGGCTGAGATTTTTCCACTAAGTGTGGTATGGAAAGTGTTTTCTCTGTGCTTCAAGAAAAATGCCCTGACCTTTCAGCTACTCTGACCCAGCAGCTGTAGCCTCAGGCCCTAGGATTGCCACGAAGAAATGAGCAAAAAGGATATTTATCTATTCGTCTATCTCTACTTATCTATCTAGCCATATATTTGTCTGTGTATATACACAGACATGTATATATGAACATACATAATGTGTATAAGTGTATATATATATATATATATGTATATATATATATGAAATTTAGACTTCTAAAAGCTTATATTTTCAGGGGGAAAATGTATGAGAGAGAACAGAATAAACAGATGTGATGGCCAGATAACAGGCAGATATTTTGGCAATGAGCTTACTGTTTACTTAGTCTGGAACAGAAAGGAGACAGAGATTCCATAAGGACCTCAAGTCTATGGTTTGTAGACAGTAGTATGCACAGCTGTCTATAAACCATGAAAATGTGTTATAATCCACCTTATTAACAAGACCATATGGCTGAACATCGAACCATGGGGGAGAATCAGATTTGATCACTGAACCCAGTTTTTCACTCAGCATGCCATCTAGGGTTGAAAGAATTGGCAAGGCAGCATAACCAAACTAAGAAGAAAGGAAAATGTCTTTGAACTCCTTAGGTAGCCTCTTGGGGCTCAGTTTTAAGAGATCTAAAAGAATTTTTTTATATCCTCAATAAGAGCACAACATGTAATTACAAAGTCCTGGTTGCAGCCACTAATTTATTAACATTTGCAATAGGTTGCTGCAAAGTCCACAATAGCCTTAAAAAAAATAGTATAACTGAAATTGTATTGCTTTAACTCTTAAATCTCACCATCTTCATCCACTGAAGATCTAAGGACACCATCCAGCACTGCTACTCAGAATTCACTTATAACTTAAAAGCTAGCTAACTCTTAGAGTTTTCACAGGCTCCAAGAGGCTATATGCTCTGTCTATGGTCCTACAATCAATAAGTATTACAGGCAGAAATGTAATCAGGATTTTTCTGGAGTTCACCTTTAGCCCTATGCCAAACTCCATCTTCTTCATTATTTTCCCCCCATTTCCTAATGGGGAAATTCCTCAGACCAACACAGAAAAGCTTCTGCATGGCAATTTATACTCTTAGAAAGCTGACTTGAGGCACTGAGATAGTAAGTAGTTTCCCCAAGGTCACATAGCCAGTATGTGTCACATGTGGGTTGAAATATCTTACAGACTCTCAGGCTGAGTCTGTATCACTACATCAAATTCCCTCTCTCTTCCACATATTGACTCTCATTTGTACAATCTTTAATAACATATCTTAGGGTTTGTTTATGTGTCCTTATTGTTATTGTTGTTGTTGTTTTTCCAATCATATGAGATCAATATCACTCACAGATGTTGCCTCTTTATGCTTTCCTGTTTTTAAGTTCCTCCAAGTGTAACCTCAAGAAATATCAGAAAAAAATTTCCATTAAGAAGAACTAGGTTAGATGCTAGTGTTTAAAAGAGTAATTGAATGTGGCTACTGATCAACATATGGAGAAAATTGACATTGAAGGGGATGTTTAGCTTGAGTTAAAAAATAAGTGTGGAAAAGTTACTTTCTCTCCATTCAAAACATAGCTGGGAATGGTCTATCTGCCTTGAATGCTCTCTAAGGGGTTGTTTCATTTATTGACTTGGGTTTGTATAAGAGATAAACTAAAATAATCTCAAGTACAGGCAGAGTGAGAAACTAATTCTGAAATGCAAATTTAGAGGGCTGCATGACTGATAATGGGCTCCATTCTCTTGGGATGTATCTCCTGTTTTCAGTGGGAAGATCTTATTGATTCCCAAAAGAACTAGTCAGATAACTGGGTATATCTGTGAGCCCATGAAAGTATACCAAGCAATCAGACTTTTGGCACTGAGACTAACATAAATGGTTTTTCATTTAAATGAATTGCAAAATATCTCAGAAATGAATGAGAGTGAAAATAAAGGAGGAAAGAGGCAAAATGAAGTGAGGAAAAAACTGAAAAAGAAGAATTTTTAAGAGGAAGAGGATAATGATCTGGGGTTTCATCCTTTCCTTGTTTCTAGATGCAAGGGGAACCCTACACTATTTTTCCTATAGACCATTTTCACCTATTTAATTATCACTAAACAAATATTTTATTTTTGCTTCTAAAATATTTATTAGAGGTGACTTTAAGTATTTGAAAAAGTATGGGAAAAAATAGATGGCTACATTTCCCAGGCTCACCAAAAGTAGTGAATCATGTTAATATCTACTGATTGAAGTATCCAGTTCACCTTTCTAATTTCATGCCAAACAACAAAAAAGTACATATGCAGGAAGAGGAGATAGTGGGGGTGGGGTGAATATAATTCTACCTTTTTTACAATGAAAAGTAAATAGCGTTACATCTTTTAAGAGCATATCTCTTTAGGAAAATCATCTCAGTGGAAATCACCAAGTTTGACTAGAACCTGGAATCCCAAAACAAAGTTAAAATGCAAGAGGGGAAATAAAAAAAAGGTTCAGAACCTCAGATAAGCTAAACCAAAAGAAGAAATCTATGCTTGTATGAAATGATCTTCCAAGGATCTCGAAGGTGACTTTTGCATTGCAAGAGTGCTTACTGGTATTTTTAATCTCCTTTTATTTTCATTCACCCTCTATCACACCCCGTGCCTCAAGCATTTTATTATAAGCAAAATAACATACATATGCTTCCCGCTGCATCTGCAGGTAGATGAGAGTGACAGAGAGGCTTTAAGCTTCAACATACCCTGGACTTATGTTTGGACTTCCTGTCTTTAAGCTTCTTCGCCTTTTTGTTGCTAGTGAGATAATGCAGGGTTCCGTATTCCATCAGGGCCGCAAAAACAAAAATGAAGCAAACGGAAACGAAGAGGTCCATGGCCGTCACGTAGGAAACCTTAGGGAGGGATTTCCTTGCAATGGTGCTCAGTGTTGTCATTGTCAGCACTGTGGTTATACCTACACTCAGACAGGTATGAAGAGAGAGAAAGTATCAGGTGGCTTCATGGACCACGTATTGTTTTCATATGACGAGCATCTTCTAGGGGTAAATAAATAAACAATTCAATAAAACTGCTCTGATTATCATGCTTTTTGAGGGGAATAGTTATTTCTGATTATAATTATAACATGTTCCAATTTTATAGTAGTAATCTAAAACCTTTAAAAGAGTTTATACCACATTACCAGTCTTCCTCTAACATGGCAAAAGCTTCTTTTAAAATAAGAAAAATTAATATATAATACAATAAAATCCCTATGATTTTCATCATTTTGAAGAGTATTTATTAATAAATATGATTATAGGTTCCAATTTTATCTTATTATCAATACTTTAAATAGTTCACGCTACTTATTACATAGTTAATTTCACAAAAACTTTGAAAAAAATTAGAACTTACTTTTATTGATCGATTTTTGAAAAGCAATGTGGCATAGTGGATATAAAATAGTTCTCAATCAGAACAATCTGGAGCATCCAAAGACTATGGGACATCATATGTAGCTGTGTGACCCTGGGCACATCACTTAACCTCAATTTCCTCAACTGTAAAATGAGGATAATAGCACCTACACCCAAAGGTTGTTATGAGGATCAAATGAGATAATATTTGTAAAGCAGTCATCACAGTGCCTGACATATAGCAAGTACTAAATATATGCTTGTTCATTCCCCCATATGTATACGTATTTGTATGTATGCATGTGCATACACACATATATACATATATACACACATAAATACGTGTATACACTCAGATATATGTATATATAAAATTTCATTTCATTTTTGTGAGGGAATGTTAAGTATAAAACTTCCTCCACTGATGCAAATTATTTGTAACCAGAATAAATGAGTTGTTTGGGGTCAAAGATGTTAGATGACTTGTCTAGTCACATAGGTAGCACACATACATATACACGTGGGTGTGTGGGTGTGTGGGTGTGCGTGTGTAAATACACACACACACACACACACACACACACGGTTTACAATAGAGCTGAATATACAGTATCAGGATCTACCAATAACAGCTTCATAAGGAAAAAATGAATCAGACATCACTAGCAACTACTTTTGTAACTAAAGAAGAGTTGGTGACTAGCTTATGGTCACATGTGAGTGTCAGAATCAAGACTTGAACTTAAGTCTTTCTAATGTGAATGCCAGAATTCTAAACATTCTAACTATGCCTATATATTCTAGATATTACAACCATATCTACTATGCCACTCTGTACCCCCATGATCTGACATGATCTTTTCACACTTAATATAAAAAATAAAGCTAATTTAAAAGTAAAAGGTAGAATGAATAATGACATAATATTACTAACAGTGAGGTATTTGTTAAAAAGCAAGTATTGCATATGATAAATCTTTACAGTTTATCCAAAGAAGCATATATAATGGCATGGGTAGAGACATCTATCTATATAATTACAGTTCCACATTTTCAAAAATTTGGACAGATATGCAAGTCTCCCTTTGACACCACTCATGGCAACATATTAAGTCTTGATTATTATGTAGTGCTTTACATCATCCTCCAGAAGAAAAAAAGTTTTTATATCAAAGGCTTAAATATTTTAAAACGTCCACCATTTCCTTTCCTTTCTATATTCACCCAGGGAAGTCAAAGGCAGATCGCTCAGGTCTGTTACCTTATATCAACCCATTCTATTTAAACTCTATTTGCATTTCAAAACCACAAAGTAGTATTTGTTCTAAGTTGGACAGCAGAACATTTAGAACTTACCTCTATTAAAAATGAAAAATACTGTGATTTTTATTTAGTTTTGTTTTGTTTGGACCTGTGATTTCATTGTTGTATAGAATGTTCAATGAAGAAATTACATTTACCGGTAAAGATTAGCAATTCTCAAGACAGTGTTTCAGAGAGACATTTGGGGGCACTGTAAGTTTAATTGAATTGCTAAATATCTGTCAGAGGAAGGACTTGAACCCAGGTCTTTCTTAGGCAAGGATTCTCTTCAATACTATTTAAATGATAATATATTCAGTTGTCAAATTAAAACTTCACATTCATAAAACCCATATTCACAGATGAATGTTGGGAATGATCAATCTTCATTTTCATTTATTTCAACAAGAATTTATTATATACCTCCAATTTTTGAGACACTGTGCCTGATGGGGGAGATACAAAGTCAGTAATACTATTTAGAGCCTAGCCTGGGATACTGGGCAGTTACACAATTTACTCAGGGTAAGACAATGAATATGTGTTGGAGGTGGGCCTCAAAACTATGACCAGATCTGGTGCCACCTCAATATCTACTATACTATATTACTGCTTGTTGTAAGCCTTAGATTTCAACCTTTGATTTTTTTCACTCCAAATTCTCCAATGAATAGTCCGACCATGTCCACATTTTCTGAAGATTGTCTACCAGGTAGATATTGATACAGCCCAAATTTTGAATGTAAAGTCTTTGATAAAATACATTTGTGTTTAAATATTTCAAAATATTAAGTACTTGCAGATATATGATACTTACATAATTCATATTTGCTATTTCATCATGCACTGGCATATAGCATCATGTAATAGCATCATTGACACCACTCATGTCAACATATTAAGTCTTGATTATTATGTAGTGCTTTACATCATCCTCCAGAAGAAAAAAAGTTTTTATATCAAAGGCTTAAATATTTTAAAACGTCCACCATCTCCTTTCATTTCTATATTCACCCAGGGTAGTCAAAGGCAGATTGCTCAGGTCTGTTACCTTATATCAACCACACTCTATTTAATAGGCATATAGCATCATGTAAACTTAATGATAGGAATAACCTAACATTTTTTCCCAGGAAGAAATATGCAAACAAGTTCATAATGAAAATGGACTTTTTCAGGCCCCTTTAAAAAAACAGTGACTTTTCAAAACTAACAGAAAAATAGGAATGATACAGGGCATGGTGGAGGAAAAAAAGTTATTGCAGTCAGTAGACAAGATTTTATTAAGTGCTTACTATGTTCTAGATACTATACTAAGCTCTGGGGATATAAAGCCAAAAAAAAAAAATACTCATGGGTCTCTGCTCTCAAGTAGCTCACACTGTCTGGCATAAACATACCAATGTATCTATCTTATCTATCTATCTCTGTGTATCTATCTATATGTCTATATCTATCTAGAAAGAGACAGAGAGACAGAGACAGACAGAGAGAGAGAGAGACAGAGAGAAATGAAAGATGAGAGACAGAGACATTGCAGGTCCAGGTTGGTCCTATGGTACTAGGGATAACTTAAAAGCAATTGAGACTTCAGGAAGCAAATGACTGAATTAACATTTGATGTGGCAATTCCCTAAGCACATATAGTTCTTTTCTGATTCTCAGCCTCTGTTAGCCTTCCTCTTCCTTCCTATTAACTAGGTTATAGATATACTAGTGAAAAAGCATGGGATGTTAAGGGGAAGCAGAAACTACTACATTTCTTTTTAGGTCTCCTTTCAGATCTAAGGCAAAGATATGAATAGGGACTGGTCTTATCTTTTCATTTCTATTCCTTTTCTTTGGATGCAACCATGGCTAAGTAACTTGCCCAGGATCACACAGCTAGTAAGTGTCTGAGGCAGGATGTGAACTCAGGTTCTCTTGACTCCAGGGCTAGTGCTCTATTTCCTCTTCCACAACCATCTTTTCATTTCTATAGTGAGCTTCCACATGATGAAACTGCCTTCACCAGTGCAAGTTAGTGCCTTCTCAGCCACTTGTCCTCTTAAAAAATTGCCTAGAGCAATAGTAGGCTAAAGGATTTGATCAGGATCACATAGTCAGTATGTCAGACCAGGACCTAAATTCAGGCCAGGGTGGCTCCAAAGCCTTCCTCTCTCCATTATACCAGGCTGCCTCAAGGCAAAGATAATTTTTTTTTCCCTCTCGTGCACATAATCCACTGCTTATCTTCATGATTGGATCATTTACTCAATAATGAGCTGCAATGAAGGACCCACAACTCAGTCAATGAAATGTCTCCTTCTACCCTGTACTGCATATAATTTTTCATTGTCAGGGCAGACAATAGAGTATTTTGTCATCTAGCTTGTTAAGAGACTCCATCATTCTGGAGATTCCTTCTCTTATCATTCCAGATAGATGGACACTGCTTTTACAGATCTTCATATTCAGTCCTCTGGTATTTCCTTGCTTGGGTGAGTCTCATACTTTGCATAATCTGAATCATACCACATCTGGTAGAAATAGGTTCTTCCATTACAATCTTCAACCATTTTAAGTTCCACATCTAACTCCCACATGCCTCCATGGTCCAGTTTTCCAGGAACACTTTATAAATAACATTGACTTTGTCATGAATGTGGAAGAGTCGTTTATCTTCACAGTCATCTACCAGGAAGAGCTCCAGAGGCTCTGGTGTTGCTCCAAAGACAGCATCTATTCGAGCACAAAAGCCCAGAAGTATTATGGGAGCAGCTAGGTGGCAGAGTGGATACAGCTCTGACCCTGGAGTCAGGAGGACCTGAGTTCAAATCTGGCCTCAGACACTTGACACTACTAGCTGTGTGACTCTGGGCAAGTCACTTAATCCCATTGCCTAGCCAAAAAAGCAAAAAAAAAAAAAAACAAGTAGTATCTCATTTGATCCACATAATAGCCATGTAAAATAGGCACTATTTCCCCCCATTTTATATACAACAAAGCCAAGGCTTAGCAAGGCTAAATGCCTTGCCTGTGCATGGTTACAAAGCTACTATATAATTTGTTAAAAGTAGGATTTGAACCCAGGTCATCCCAACTCCCAGTAACTGTGCTCTGTTCACTATAGTCTCTCATTTAATAACTCAAGAAAACCAATCATTTATCAAATGCCATTTAAAATCCATAAAGTCATGTAGGCAAGTTTTTTTTAATAATTGCAAACCCAATAATACACAGAAGAATGTAAAAGGGTATGCACACTAGAAACAAAAATATATTTCATATTAAAGTAATCATAGGAAACCAAGTAAAGTAGGTTTGGAACATAATCTATTAATAACATCTACATCTTTGTCAGACTCCCCTGGCATTTTTTTTTTTGCCAGCTGCATAGTTAGATGTCTTGAGCTTTAATATTGATGATTCCAAGTGATTTACATTTTACTATACATTACTAAAAGGAGATCTTCACCAGCCATCTCAGGCAACCACATGAAGGGGTCTTTTGTGATTAAAAACAGAAATTCTGAAAATTAGCTTTTTATGTTTTTTCATGAAATCAGTATCAGTAGTCAGAGAGCTGTACTTTTCATTGGAGTGAATCAATTGAACAATAAGCTGTCTTTGTAAATGAATTGTAGAAATGGAAGTAGTTTTTATGTGACTTTAAAAGAGCAACTGGTTCATTTTCAAAACAGTTTAATGTTATTATACTGTTTTCAAAAGACACAGCAAAAGAAATTTATTGAAAACAAGAGAAGATCTCTATACACAAACAGATTTACATAACTAGATTTTTTAAAACAAGAAGCTGGAATCAAAATGTGTGCCCAATGATTGCGATATTGTTGAAGAACATGTGATAATGAGTATAAAAGGATTTCATTGTGCTATGACTAGTGATGACTAGGAAGAATTCAGAGAACATGAGAAGAATTGTTTAAAATGATAAAAGTTAATAAAACAAAATGTCAATGACTGCAACTTTGTAAATAAGCAACCTCTGAAAAGAAATAGAACTGACTTAATACAACAGACAGTGTTGTCTTATTGCTATCATTGTTAAGGATACATTCCTTCTGTTAAGGATCAGTAAAATACAAAACTATAAAGTGACATGTATCATCAGTTAAAGTCATCTTAAGTACCTGGTTTGGGATAACTGTTTCAGGAGAAGGTAATTTGTGGGGAAGATGTGTGTTTATTGGGAAATGACTCCCTGGTTAAAAAAAAAAAGTGCTAACATAAAAATAATTAATGGCAAAAAGCAAACATATCAATTGTGAATAACAATTCAGATTATTCATCATTGTTACTATCTAGGCACACTCAATGTCTCTGAAGCTGATTGCTCAATTTACAGATTATTCAATTCCCAGCTTCTCATCTTTCTTATTTCAGTTCTCTGCCTCTTGGACCCTTTGCTTCTCATTATAACCACCACCAAAAGCAAACAGAAGCAATAAGAGGCGGTCAATTTTACTCCTTGTAACTATGGTAAAAGGCTTAGTAGGGGAAATGTCAGAAGGTTTCAAATAAAATGAGGTTTAGGGACAGGAGAATTTCATTTACCTAACCTTCCCTTGGTTCCATTTTCCTATGTCCTCATTTGCACAGATAGGGATGAATTGACTTAAAATTTAATCAGTCTGTAATCTTTTTTTTTCCTCATGCCCCTCTAATCAAGGTATTGCAAAGGGGTCCTATGAGATGCTATTGATTTAGGTCCTAGTGGCATAGACTATAACACATTTGGTGGTACACTCATAAAAAGATGTATTGCAGCAAGTATATTTTAATGTTTCATACCTAATGATGTCCTTGCAGGTACTGCATCTTTGTTAATCCAGAATGACACCCAGGAAAGGACAACTGTTAATATACATGGGATATATGTCTGAATGGTAAAATATCCCATACGTCTACTCAGATCAAAAAAGATTGTCATGATGATATAATCCCCTAAAAGAAAAGGATGAAAAAGGCATAATTTAGTCACAGTATCACAGAAAGTCAGAGTTGAAAGGGTCCTTAGAGAGTACCTAATCCAACATACTCCTATACAAGAATCCCCTCTATAATGTACCCCCCCAAAAGCAGCATTTTATTTATACAATTAAATATGTATAAAGATACAGATCTATATGGAAAATCCAAAGATAATCATTTTTAAGGATATGACTAATGCCCTGTTTTGTTGCTATTGTTGCTGTTTTTCTTACCAGATAGTGTATGTGAGATCTCTGTTGAGTTTCGTAACCCTACAAATGCAAATTGGTACAATCTCCAATATTTAGGATCTGCTACTTCTACAGAGGTTTTCTTCCATTTATATTCGATTTCATTTCTAGGATACCCATCTGAAAAAAATCATAGGAAGATATGTGATCAAAATGTCCCAGTAGCCCATAACTTTGAGCAAAAAAAGAGAACAACCAATATCAGAAAATGTCACCTATTTTTCTCTTCTCTCTCTGCCTTTGTCTCTTCACTTCCTATCCCTCTTTATTCTTTTGTTCCCCTCTCCTCCACCTATACTATTTTTCTCACTTTTGACTTTTTTTTTCCTTTTTTCTTCAATGGTGCCTTAGACCAGAAAATAACATTTGAAGAGGTTCATGATGCTTGAGACACACCGAATCTTTGGATCTCTGACGTGTGGCTTCATCAATGTTATATTTAAACTTCTTCCCACATCCAATTAGTAAATGTGTTCTGTTGGTCCTAGCTTGACATCTATCCCATCTTCTCTCTCTTTCTTCTAAGATAACCCTAAGAATATACCCATATTAATTTTTTACCTGAATTATTTTAATATCTCCTTAGCAATATTACTGCTTCTATTCTCCCCATATCTAATCCATTCCCATTTCTAACATGCAAATCTGATGATAAAATCCAATGCAAGCAAGAGGAACAAAAACCCTCTAAAAGGACTTTCCATTGCCTGATCAATAAATTCCTAACCCATTAAATCAGTATTTATGATCTTCAGAAATGGGTATCAACTCAATAGTGTAGACTTGTCTCCCACTAATGTTGTTCATATACTCAATTCTTTAAAAACCAGTATGGACTACTGACCATTCCTCAAACAGGTCAGTCATATAGCTAGTGAAAATGATCAAATCAAGTAAGTGTTATCCTTTAGAGAGGGTAATAATAATAATAATGACATTTATATAGTACTTTAGAATTGGTAAAGTGTTTTTCATAAGTTAATTAATTTGATCCTCATAGCAAACATGGGAAGGAAGTGCTACTATTATCCTCATTTTACAGATGAGCAAGCAGAACTTGAGAGAGGTCAGGTGATTTGACTAGGGTCACAAGTTCAGAAATGTTTGAGGCTAGATTAGAAGTCAAGTCTTCCTGACTCCAAGCCCTATATGTTATCCACTGCCACACCTAGCTGCTTAGGATGGGGGAGGCATGAGCTTGTTTTTATGTCACAGGAAAGTAATGACTAGTCAGAGAGAGAAATGAGAGTAGTGAGAGAGAAGCAAATGGAGGAGGCAATATGTTGTAGAAGATGACGTAGAATGAGATCAAGGGTGCATGTAGAAGGGATCTCCTTGGTAAGGAGAATGATCTCTTCATGTGAGAAAGGGGTGAAGAAGAAGACAGTGGGGGAAGATATTTGTATGCTGTGAGATAAAGAGGAGACTACAGTGAGTTCTCAATAAATTGCCTCTTTTTTGTGAAATACAAGGCAGGATTCTCAGCTGAAAGGCTGAGGGAAGTATGCTATGAGAGGTTTGAGGAGGGATGAAAAGGATTGCTAAATCCATTATGATGAATGAGATAGTGAACTGATTGAAGCAGGACATAAAAGGATCTCCTTGCCTCAGTGAGGGTCCACTTGAGGTTTTGTGACACAATTTTTTAATGAATCCAGTCAACACAGTCATGATTTTCTCAAGCACACTAGATAGTGTCATATTTAGTACAGGTTTATGAAATACTTACTCTATGAGATAGTATCAGGTACCTTCTCTGAAAGGTACTCTCATATCTTTGCTTTATTTCTATATGAAGGTATATATCTATGCCTCTGTTTTTGGTGACTACTTTATTACCTCTCTCCAACATTTCTCCCTCTTTCAAATATTTACATGTTCAACTTATTTCCTTCTTTTAAGATCCAACAAAATATCTACCTCCTCCATGAAATCTCCCTAGATCCCTCTCATTTTTACCTCATAGGATTATCTTGTCTGGCTTTGTAATATAATCACATCTGGATATATGCCATCTTCCTTACAGATGAGAAGCTTCTGAAAAGCAGAAGGAGCTCTCTCTCTCTCTCTCTCTCTCTCTCTCTCTCTCTCTCTCTCTCTCTCTCTCTCTCTCTCTCTCTTTCTCTCTCTCTCTTTCACACATACACACAAATTTGTCATAGTGTTTTTCATAGGTATCTCATAAACTTGTGTTAAATATAACAGTTTTACCATTTTTTGCATATTTTTTTTCTTTCCTGAACATCTCTATAAACTAAAGTTTTACTTAGTGATAAATATGTTGGAATTTAATATAGGTTGGATAGATGTAACAATGAACATTTGGTAATAAAAACAGATTCTGAAATATGCTTCATAAAAAATAATAGAATGACATTGAAATTTAAAAAAAAAGTTCTTAGACCTCTGTGTACAGAGCAAAAAATGAACTTTATCATGTAATTTTACAGGTTTTTTTTTGTAAAGAATCCCTCATTATTAGCAAGTCACCAAGAAAAATAAAATCTTTATATTAAAATGATTTTACATGAAATCTTAAATGCAAATGTATACTGAGTTCCTGAGAAGAAATATAGTAAATAATTATGCTACATTTTCACAAGTGTAGTTCTCATCAAATTTAAGTTAAAATTTTATTAAGCAATCACTATATATATAGTATGATGAAAAGATCAAAATCAGCACAATACCAAACCTCAAGCAATTTGTGGTCTCTTGGGTAAGTTATATGTATAAGTATATATAATTTTTAAAAATTAATATCTATGTGATTTCATTTTAAGTTCTTTTTTCTTTCTTATTAATAATGATAAACAAAACCTCCTATATTTTCTATCTTGGCTACTCTAACTCATCCAGTTTCAACAGAAAAATATTCTCCCTTCCTATATTAGATGAGAATTAGCAAAAGGATTGATGTTATTCACTAGAATATAAACTCTTTGAGATCCAAGGCTGTGTCTATATAATCAACTGGTGCAATGTGTTTCACAGTCTTAAATGTGATTCTTGAATTGTATTTCATTATACAAATCTTGGTAATAGAGTCAAATCTTGCTTCTGCAAAGTGTAGACAACTCTAATAGAGCTTTCTAGAACTTCTGTAAGAAAGTCTGGCCATAGATTTGACATTCATACCTATATATGTTATTAAGATCTCACATGATGAACTCTGAAACATTGTTCAACTGTGTCAGAATAAATAGTTGCTGCTTGGATAATTTTAATGTTTACAAAGTATGATGACTGAGATGTCCAATTTAGCTTTAAGTCTTGTGTCATTTTTTTAAGATTAAAAGGAGAAGACTAAGTGGTGAATGTATTTTATATAGTCCAATCTATAGTAGATAACCCTAACATGCATTTATGGAAATCAAAGAACCTATTTCCTCCTTTGGAATCATTAAATGAACAATCTCAGAATTTAAAGTTTGATAAAATTACGAAGTATTTTACCACCTACAGCTGGAAAACTCCAGTGGGCAGGAATGTTCATCCATAGGGAAGTTATGCAGCTGAAGATAGCATTCAGCATTAATTGTCAACCTAATTCAAAGAAACAAAGATCTGGTAAATAAGAAACAATATTTAAGCATTATGATACATTGGGATATTTATGAGATATAATCTTTTTATACTAAAATGAACACTGGATAGGTAGCTAGATATAATAAAATGACACTAAATGTTCAGATTACAACCATTATTGACAAGTTCAACAATTTTTGTATGTGGAAAATTGTAACATAAGCAAACAGAAATATTCTAGAAATAACAGTAATATAGTGTTGTTCACACTCCACTGTAGGGCCAGACTTCATAGAAAAATGAGATCTTTATTACCAGTATTTATTCTAGGTAAATTCCTATACTTTTAAAACAATTTTAAAAACTAGGTTTCAGTGAAGCACAGTTTAAAAGAAAATGCCTAGGAGGGGAAAAGTGTTTGTTCTTAATTGTTAGGACAATGAACTTAGGCAATTTGGGTCTTTGAATCATATCTATATTTGGTTCTCATTTTGAATAACTTAGTTACAACACTGAAAATCATGTAATCATACAATTTCAAAGCTAGCAAGATACTTTGAGATCATCTAATAAAAATATTCTCATTTTATAGATGAGGAAAGTGAACACTGCCTACTATTTCTTAGGGCTCATGAGAGAAAGAAAACAATCTTTTATAGCACTGCATTTTCATATTTTAGGTATTAACTTCTACCTAAGAGACTTTATTAAGTGGGTTAATGTCTAATGGAGAATAGATGGAGCTGTATATCTAGGGGGCCAGGATTGTAGTCCCAGGTCTGCCACTGGGTGTCATGAAACCATTCAATGTCTAATATGGTGATGTATGTATTTGTTCTCCATCTTAACATCTCAAGGAAGTCATCTGAAATTGGTGTAGTGGATGTTGATGTAGAGGCAGTGAGGTGGTACAATGGCTAGAGTCCTGGTCCTAAAGTTAGGAAGACTGATCTTCCTGAGTTCAAATCTAGCCTCAGACACTTACTAGCAGTTTGACCCTAGGCAAGTCACTTAACCTTGTTTGCTTTAGTTTCCTCATCTGTAAAATGAGCTGGAAAAGGAAATGGCAAACCACATCAGTAACTTTGCCAAGAAAACCCCAAATTGGGTCACAAAGAGTTGAACATAACTCAACAGCAACAACAGTGATGTGTAGAGATGAGGAAGAAGGAGGAAGATGATTGGTGGTGGTGGTGGTGATGATGATGATGATGATGATAATTCAACATCCTTGCAATTCTTTGTGGTTTGGAAAATGCTTTTACATACATGTTAAAGTTTCTATGAACCCAAGGGATAATAGAGAGGCACATGATCAGTGTGAGTAGGCTATTGCATACTACCAACAAAAAAATGCACAAAAGCACAAAGAATGACACAAAGATTCATATGCCTGGGTGAGGAAGTGTTGTTTGATGTTGGTGAAATATATGATAACTGATAGACAATCTTCATGTTCCCTTAGTGTCTGGACTATGTCAAAGAACACAGAAGGTCCTAAAGTAGACTATTGAGAATATTTGAAAAGATATGAATGAGTCAGAAAGTAGGAGCAGTCACAGGTGGGTTATTCATTATTGAAGGGCATTCCTATTTTGTTAATAATTATAGATCTATTGAAGTATCAAATCTTTTTATTTGACTCCCATGACAAACTATTAGGTGATTATTATAGGTAGTGGAGGTATTAAATATGAAGGGGTATTATTTTCTAAGAAATGAATTGCTAGATAGGTCAAAAGTATTAGTAACCTCACTCTTATCTAAACACAACTGCTTCTGGGACTGAATGAGTGAGGTTGGGCAAACAAAAAGTGTGAAAGTTGCAATTGGCAGGTATTCAAATATCCAAAGAGCTAGGTAGATTGTCAGTAGGCAATTGGACATCCACCTGTCTCTTCTCTCAGAATTCACATAATTAAACCTGGAAGAGGTTAGAACCCTGTATTCTGATTAAAAAGCCTCCAGGTCATCAGTATATTTGTGAATCAGGCAATAATTCTAATGGAATATCTAATTAGCTTTAGTAGGTAGGTTATTTCCCTATCTCCTCAGATCTTATGCATTTTGGAACCATTTCTTATCTTACTCTATCCTGGGTACATAATAACAACATCAAATTTCGATTAAAATAAATTGAGTTCCATGCTGGTATCATCACCACTGAGTAGAGCAGAAGAGAAGAAATTTAAATCACTAGCATCAGCTTGAAGTCACTTTCTACAACAATCTGAGGTGCAAATGGGCATAAAGTACTTTAGAAGAGATGTTATAATTTTTTAGAAAGATTAAATAGGTCTTAGGAAAGGTAGATTTCAAATCATCTTTTAAGTTCAATGCAAGCCTTTAGATACTTGATAACATAGATACTAGTGACATTATTTTGACACTTATGATTTAGTATATTTCACAAATTAAGTGCTGCAAAAAAAAGTTTCAGCAGCTGATAATTATCAGCCACTTATATCTAGTAATAGCAGATGAGAAAATATATCCAGGAATAACTGTGCTTCGTTTTGATATAATTTCTTTTAATCCAACTTATAGATGGTATTTTTAAAAATGTAAGTTCAGATGGTATTTCAATTAAATTTAAAGCAAAACTTTTAAAGACCTATGATAAATTACTTCCTGGCATACATTTATCATATTTTAGCTCAAACCAGAATATCTGAAATGTGGTAATTTATTTTGATTTAATAGAAAAATACTGCCCTATTTAAGGCTTTTGTTATTTGATTATAAGGGTCCATTGAACAAATTTCATTATGAGTCAATCTGAAATTCATCATTGGATCATTTTCAAGTACTTTAATGGATTCTTCTCAGATATATGAATCAAAGAGCCCCTGAGATGTTAAAGGTTTTCTATAGAGTGTGAAAAGGGCATTTCTGGAGGAGGTAGACAGAAATGGGGGAGATCCAGGAAGGACAAGTTTTAAATTTAAAACAAAACAAAACAAAAATTTGTTCTTATTGTGGGATATCAATCTACACATATTGGATATGCCTTTTGATGGCATATTTTTATAGAGTGAGAAAATTGTAAGACTAGGAAGGAATTTGAAAGTCATTTTAAAAAATTATTTTATGTTGGAGTAATAGGTTCTGCTGGCTTCAGTAAGGCCCTAGAAAAAGACATGGTAAGAAAAGTAAATGTCTTAAACTACATTTTCATACTTCCCTTCTCCTATCCAATCATAAAAACTCTGTGTAAAATGCTGTTAGGGGAGATTATAGGATTCACATTGGAGAAAGATTTTTTTTTACGTAGGCACACCTCTAGAAATGAACTGTCTCTAAGGTTTTGGAATTTTGCAATAGAGTAGGAGTAAGTTGTTAAAAGTCTCTGACTTACAACTTGTAATTAAATTGATACATAGATACCGATATACACATATATATTTGTGTGTGTATTTAGAGAGCTTTAGGAGAAGCAACAAAAGCAAGTGGCTAAAAAGACAGTTGGAGAATCTATGATTAGTCCTGCCTTATCCTGGGAATTGGACTCAGTGACTAAGGGGGTGTAAGGAATATAGGGAGAGAGATTCTATAAAAGCAAATTTATAGGCTTAGCTAGTGGTAAGTTTGGACAGGAGTATGTTACAGGGCACATAAAAAGTCATCATTCATTCATCCATTCAGCATTTATTAAGCACCTATTGTGTATATTTGTGTGAAAGAGGGAAATGTTTTAGATACTGAGGGAGACAAGACAGTTGATTCCCTCTTGGTTTCTAGATAACCATAATGCATAATATTTCATCAGATCACAGATGAAGAGTAGAAATGAACCTCATAGATCATCAACTTCAATTCCATTTTAGAGAGAAGGAAACTCAAGCACAGGGAGGTTCACTTTTTAAGTACATTACAGAGATAGAAAACAAAGTACTATGTGAGGTTTAATCAGAAAAGGTAGGGGAGTCTTCACAGAAGAAGTACTATTTGATTAGGAGTTGAAGGATAGGGAGACATTCAATAGTTGGGGTAGGAGAAACAATCCACAAATAGGGCATAGTATGAACAACAGCGTGTCAGTTGATGTGCATGATGTGGGAGGTAAATGGCCAGGAGCTGTAGTTATACAGAACTGTCCAAATTTGTTGAAACACAAAGTAAATCGACATGTACAATTGAGATGAAGATAGATAGTGAAATAGACCCAAACTGTGGGACTTTGATAAGAATCTTAATGAAAATCAAGTAGTCTTTACTTAATAGATCAGAGGTAGCCACCAAAAAGTTGGAAGCTGAGGAGCAAAGTGATACTTCCCATGCAAATTCTATCTATCTATCTATCTATCTATCTATCATCTATCTATCTATCTATCTATCTATCTATCTATCTATCTGTCTGTCTGTCTATATTTCACATTGAATGGAAAACTAGAAATGTGATAGTTGAATGTGTTAGAAGAGACAAGAAATGATTTTTTAATACCTTAGGGTGAAGCTAAAGAATGTAATAACAAATGTAATAACAATGGGGAGGGAGGTTAGAGGCTGAAATTTTAAAAGTATATGCTATTTGGGCATAATTCCAGATTGCTCTCCAAAATGGTTGGATCAGTTCACAGTTCTACCAACAATGATTAGTGTCCTAATTTTTCCACATCCCAGCCTACTTTTGTTGCTTTACCCTTTAATCATTTTAACCAATCTGGTACATGTAAAATGATATCTCAAGGTTGTTTTCATTTGCATTTTTCTAATCAATAATGATTTAGAGCATTTTTCATGTGAATATAAATTATTTTGATTTCTTCAATCAGTAATGATACTTTCTGGACTAAATAACCAAAACATCTGTATATTGGCAGATCTGGCTCTAGGCAGAAAAGGCTGATATATAAATATGTGATATTTATCGAGGTTCTCTGGATAGATGCTTCTTTCCCCAAATGTCTCCCTTTACAGTCTTCCTTTAGCCTGAAATTCTCACTATTAATTATTGCTTTTCCTTGAACATTAATATGGAGAATAATACATTGACCCATTACTTTAATACTGCACTGAACTGGTGATCTCTCTGCTGTGGCTCTTCTTGTCTACCACTGTACATATGATTCTATCTGATGATTATTTATTTAGTACTTACTATGTGCAAGACCCTGTGCTAGGCATTATATTAAAAAAAAAACAAAAATAAAATAGTCCCTCTTACATAATGTACATCCTACTATAGGTGGTGAACACAATCTGAACACAGATTATGCATGATACAGGATAGACAAGGAAGGTGTAAAATAATCTATGAGATAACAACCCTTTGAAATATATGGAGGGAGTGCTAATAACTGTAGAGGGGAGGTTACCTATCTGTTAATTCTCACTTCCACTTACTAAATGATTAACCACCTTTTGGATCATTCCTCATTTTTTATGGCACTTCTTAAGAGAGAGTCATGATGGATAAAATTTGACAGCCCTCTTACTCCTGCCATGTGTTTTCTCATTTTTCTTTATATAACTTACAACTTTCATTATACAAAGAAGTCTTATTATGCCCATTAATACTTTAGAGGAGCATGAATTAATTTATCAATTTAGCTAGAAGGGAAAAGAATCTGGGAAAGTAGTATATAGGACAGGTGTATTTTGATGGGGACTTTGAAAAAAAAAAGAAAGAAGGGAGGAAATAGCAAGCTGAGCAGAAGGGTAGGCTTTGGTAAGATCCCATAATGGGAAAGCCTGAGTTTTCAGGGAGAACAGGGGATAATTGGAGTGGCAAATACATTTATATGTTTGTTTGTTTATTTGTTTGTTTGTTTTTACAAAGGCAAACCTAAGAATTGTTTGGGCAGCTAGGTGGTACAGTGGATGGAGTGTAGGGCCTGGAGTGAGGAAGACTTCCTCAGCTAAAATCTGAATTCAGTCTCACTAGTTGTGTGACCCTTGACAAGTAACTTAACCTTGTTTGTCTCAGTTCCTCATCTTTAAAATGAGCTGGAGAAGGAAAAGGCAAAACAATGCAGTATATTTGCTAAGAAAATCCGAAATGGGGTCACAAAGAGTCAGGAATGACTGAAATGACTGGACTAAAACAAATACAACATACTATTTAAGGGGGAACTTGGAAAATGATGTAGACTGTAGACTCTATCTGCACAACACCTTGCTTTCTGACCATCAGTTGCAAAAATGATTTACTCAATGACTCCTAACCATCTTTGTAACATGAATGCATTTTAAAACATTCTGTAATCCCTTTCTTTTGTGAAACTTGTATGTATAGAAAATTATCTGTAAACTTGATGTGTAGAAATGTCATTTCTGCATTTGCCATTTAAAAAACAAAGAAAAAAATGTTTAATGGATTGTAGAACATTACTATGGATAAAGGGAAAATATATGTATATATACATACATATATACATACATACATACATATATATACATACATATTCTAGTTAAAATACCAACAACAAAATGTTACCTTAAGGTATAGAGAACTCTTCCATCACTCCATATTCGAAGCAGTCGATTAGGAGTTGTTATCCAATGAGCATCTGATTTTCTTGAATTTCTGAAGAAAGTATCAGGGATCCAAATTTTCCCTACCATGTTGCTATTAAGCATCAAGACTTTCATTGTGCTATTAAATCGTAAGCGACTATCAAACCAAGTCTGGGCAAAAATTATATCTATGGTATATTCCTGAAAAGAAAACCAGAAATATAAGGGCATATTAGGATTTTTTTTATTTAATAGCTGTATCTTGCATTTCTTTAATTTGTGTGGATGTCAAGCTCTTCTGCCAAGTTGTGAGCTAGAACTCCAGAAAGGCAAATACCTTAATGCTTAGCTTAGTGCCTGGCACATAGTAGGCACTTAATCAATATTTATTAACTAATTTTTGACAGAATCTTTTCAGAGCATTCTAATTTGCCAAAGGCCTAGGATTCTTAACCATTTTTTGAGTCATGGACCTCTTTGAAAATATGGCAAAGCCTATGCACTCCTAGGAATAATATTTTTAAATACAGTATATACAATTCATAAAATTACGAAGGAAAACAATTATTTTGAAAAAGTTATCAACATTAAAGAACAACAGAAACAAACCAATACAATCCACAGTGGACCCAGTTTAAGAGTTTCTTGCCTAATGCCATACATAATGTATACAATTGTCTCTTAATATATGCTTACAAGATTATAAATTAAAGTGAAATGTTTTCCTTTCCATCATAGTATCTCAAAGTTCTTACAAATAACAGCATCTATAGTAGAAAATGACCGTTATCATTCTTTCACTTTTTCCAAATAAATTATATTCATTTCAAAATAAATGCTCTTCATGAAAAAAAAAAGTTAAATGGTGAATCTAGGGCTAAAATCTTGATTCTCATTCAATCATGTTTAGTTTGATGCTCAGATTTTATGTCAATTTTAGTAGCAGTTAACATGTCTATTATCTGATAAATATTGAATCTAATTCTCCATTACAACTTGCTGTTATGTTTGCTTCAAGTAAAAATACTCAACACTTAAAAATCTTTCTTCTCTCTTCTCTCTCTCTCTCTCTCAGGGTCATGACCAGAGTTTAAGAAGTGCTGAATGGGTCACAAGTGGAAAAAGTTTAAGAAGAACTGTACATATATGTGTGTGCATGTATGTAGGCATGTATGCGTGTCTATATGTGTGTATAAATGGATGGATATATGTGTGTATGAATGTATGCACATATATTCCATGCAAGTCAGAAATTCTTACCCAAATTTCCCTTTGGGTAAACTAAGCATTATATAATACAAGCAAAGAAATGTGATCCCTTCCATGGAAGAATTATTTAGTAAGATAAAAGTAGGTATATTTATATACTAAATATGAAGAATTTGTTATTTTTTCATTGTGAAAAATTTCCAGTGTGGGAATTCCCTATACTAACAAAAAAAATTTGTTTATGATATAATAGATATATCCTAGGGAATTACATGAGGTACAGAGAATTTAAGTTACCTGTCAAGCAACACAGAACTAGTATGACTAGGAGGTGGGATTTTAATCCTATGCTCTAGACTCCAAACCCAGCACTACCTCCACTATGTCTCCAAGCCTCCTCTCAAGAATAATTATAATTACAATGGAAAAGGAAAACATTTAGCCATGATGAATCTGTATGATTTTAAGTGGAGTGTTAAGTACATTTTAAGATGCCTTGGACACAGACAATTTCTACAAATAGGACTTATTCTTTGGACTGAAATTACTATTCTCTATTTAATGGTTCATTGAATTAAGGAGGCCAGTTTGTTCAATTTCAAATGTAATAGAAGAAAATATTAAGTTATCTTTTTATTGGGCATCATTTATTAACATGGTAATAAAATCCTTACACTCTAAGTTCCTACTTCCTTCACTGAATTCCTACTTGGATGCTTTATCAAGGCTTGGCAATGGCTCTGTATTCATAAAAGCTATGCAACAAATTGCCAGCTTTGGTAGGTTATGTGAACTGGAAAGGCGTGGAGTGGAGGCCTGGTGATGGGTTGTAGATGTATCATCTGAGGACTCTCATTATCAAGTTCATTGAATGGTGATCTCTCCCCCACCCACCCAGCCACCCACCCACCCACACACACACATACACACTCAAGGTAACTTGCAAAACCTACTAAGATGCAGAATAGCTGCATTTATTATGAGTGGAAGGAAACTCCACACTATGAAAATCATGGATTCTTTAAATGCTGAAGTATAATCCTCCTTAAAGTACCTCGTGGAGACTCCTAAGTTTTCAAAGAATTAAGTAAAGACAACATAGGAAAAGTGCATCTTATGTTTTGCTAATGTTGCTGAAAGTACCTATAATGGGCATTAATTTGATGCCTTAGAATTAAGTAAGTTTTCCCACAGTGGAGATCTTTAACTAAAAACTGAATGACCACTTATCAGGCCAGTATATGTGATACATATTAAAGTTTGATTCCAATTTGTTAACCCCTGGGGTACCTTACAACACTGAGATACTATTCTGTGATATTATTTCTAATGGACATAAGTGTTGAAGTCAGTAGAAAAATATAATCCATAGTAGTGGTGTCAAACTCAGATAGAAATAAGGACCACTAAACCATGCATAAGGATCCCCAGCCACATCCAGGAGTGTTTTGAGCCACCTGTGGCCTATTTGACACTTTTGCTCTATAGTGAATCATGGAGGTCATATAATTGCCTAATTTACATACTGTATGTTTTAGGACTATCCAGATCCTTTTGGATTAACTAATAAGAACTTTTTTTTTTTTTTTCTGGTGATGATACTAGAAAAGGAATGTTCCCAAAAGACTCTTTAAAGTCTAACTTAAATGCCACCTTCTCCATTAAATGTTCCCTGATTCTTCCCTTCTCCTGTATACCTCATTTAGCACTATCTACATAGGATTACAGGGTTAGAGATTTAGAGCTAGAAGCAGGGTGGAAATTTGGGAGGGCTTAGTTCCAACCTATACAGGTTCGTGGATGAGGAGAAAGAGGCCCAGGAAAGTATAGCTAAGGTCATTTAGATGGCATATGATGAAGCCAGGGTTAAAGTCCTTGTCCTACCTAAATCAGTACTCTTTGATTTGCAGTTATCTAAAGCACTTGGAGAGCAGGCCTAGGGCTCTAAGATGTTAAAACACTTGCCCAGTTTTACTTTTACCCAGTCTAGCACGTTTGTGTGCTTAGGTAGAGGAGACTACATTAACTCTAGTGTCCCTGACTATAAAGCCACCTCTCTATTCATTAAGCCATGCTGCTTCTTATCTAAGTGTGCATAGTAGAGAAAAGATTCATATACAAATAACTATATGTACTATGCACGCATGTATGAGAAGCAATATTGTATACCAGGTGGAGAGATGACTTTGGAATGAGGATGACCTGGGTTCCAGTGGTCTTGTTCCCCTCCCCCTTCCCACCCTTGCCATACAAACATTAGTTTTGTAACCCTGAGCAAATCACCTAAGCTCTCAAGACCTTAAGTGATGGGGCTGATAGAGCAATGGGACCTCTAAAAAAGGGACCTAGAACTTTCCCACAAATTTCAGGAACCCAGATCTCTGACATTCATCTGAGGCATCCTGCCCATCCCAGTATAATCCTTTTAACTACCCTTTCATTGAGGCCCTCATTGTCTGCACCTGGCCCACTGGCCCATCCCAGGCTACTTGCCATTCCTTCATCACATCCAGATCTTCCCACAGTCTTTCTGTATAAAATAACAATCTTAACCTCATCAAATGCACAGATTCCTTAAGAATCTGGTCCACTTGTATTGGCATCAAAAAAAGTGCAGACTGGTTAAGAATCTTGCCCACCCCAACCACTGTCTTAATAACCTCACTTCTCTGACTGAAGGAAGACTTAGGTGGTTTAATTCTTTCAAGGCAGACCCACCCTGTACACTTGCATTTCAGGGTTCCTAGCACCCCAAACCACAACACTAAGCAACTCCTAAGACAAGTTTTAGAGAAGGTGCCAAGCCAACTTGACTCAGAAGAGGAAGTTTCTTCATCTTTGAGTTCACTATACTAATGAAATCTCAGGTCCACTCTTTATTGTTTTCCCTAAACACACACACACACACACACACATACACACACACACACACACACACACACGTGCACACACACACGTGCACACACACACACCATAAAACAAAGAACATATCAAGTATCTAATCTAATTGAATTATTATTATTAATTATTTTTCTTAGCCAAATCAGTATTCAGTTTCCTACACTCCTATTCCAGACCTACTATATGTCACTTACCAAAATTTCTATATTTGATTAAAACCAGTTTGTCCAAATAACACCAACTTGAGACTGAGCTTCAGAAAGTTGTGGAAAGAATACATTTTTTTAAATTAAAATGCACAAGCCAGTGGAGCAGTTATGTTGATTCAGGAATGACACTAAAGCTTTTCATGAAAAAAAAGTTATCACATTCAGATGTGAACATTTTATAAGGCACAAGAAATTCTCTCAGTAATCAGAACTGAACATATAAATGTGTTGCATTTACTAAGGGACCACCTCTTGTGATAACAAAATAGAATGGTTTTCTTTAGCCTTTATGTAATTCAATTCAAATGTACATTAAGGATTTCTTCATCTGAGGCTGATGAAGCAAGAAGCAATCCCACTTGCACCATTCTAATTTACTTTATCTATTGCAGCAATCTACTTTGTAACACATATTCTGCATTGTCTTCCCCACCTCCCCATCACATCACCCTTCCCCCAGCCACCCACCCCCTTCACTCACTGATTCTGGTACTAAAAGAATTCCTTCCTTCTTTTCCCCAAAGATAATTTACTATCAAGTTTATATTCCAGTATAATCTAGCTGGTTATACTCAATGTATATAATATTCTGTTTATCATTCAGGAGATAGAAATTGCTTCCCTGGGAGGAAAAAGCCTTACATGATGGATTGTGTCCATCTTGCTCAGATTCTACATCTTAATTTACACTGATAAAATGTGATTGTGCCATATACTCCTCAACAGTATCTGGAGCACATCAATAATGATGATGAAAATGATAACAATAATAATAAATATTATTAAGCCATTAATAATAATCATATAAGCTAATATATATGTATATATATATATAATATTTACTTGTTTGGGGAAAGTATTATTTTATGGATTAGTTCATTT